CAGCCCACCCACTGTCCTGGACAGGAGCCCCAGCGCGGGCTTCTAAAGAAACCTGAATCCCAGGCGGGCAGCGAGGCATCCTGCCCCTACAGGGCTGCACTGTCTGGACAGCAAACCTGCCCCAAGGGAGAGTCACAGAGAAGTCACTAGCAAAAGCCCTGGTTGCGCTGCACTGCCCCCTTCCCCTGCAGAATAGCACCCACCGCATCTTCTTTTTGGCAGTGCCCAGCGGCAGCACAGGGACCCACAGGCTCACCTCCTGCCCACTCAGTCACATAGCATGAAGGCACCTTACGACTACACATGGGTTAAGGTGCCTTAACTAATCACACCATTTGATACTTGCTTTATGCAGATATTAAATTTAGGCGTGATTAGCCTAAGAGTATTAAGGGTGTACACATGTAGACCCATGCCCTTCATGCACCTTAAATATGGCTAATGCACCTTAAATCACCACATGTAAACACATCCAGTACCTTTACAGAAAGAGCATAAGTAGTGGAATAGCTTTATTACTTGTACATAACTATTTCCTTGTGATTTAAATGTCTATCATCTAATAGCTTTTTGCATTAGCTTTGCTTCAATGATTTGTCCTGACATCCTGATTTATTGGTGTTCTAGGCAAAAAATTACATGGGCCTTGCAATTAAGAATGACAACCTAGTATATATTTATAATCTGGGAGATAGAGATGTGGAAATACCACTGGATTCCAAGCCAGTCAGCACTTGGCCTTCTTACTTCAGCATCATCAAAATTGAGAGGTAAAATGTTTATTGAAAGGTGGCATGCTTCTTATGAGATCAGTCTGGTTTGAATATTCTACAAGACAAACTCAATAGTAACTGTTATGCATTTGCCATTAAATTGTAGGATTGCAGAGATTGTAGTTAGTGGAGTTGTTTTAGCACAGCTATGAAATAGCCAGCTCTATCAATCATGTCCTTAATTCAACCAAAACAGTTCATCGTCAGTAGGAGTGGACATCTCTTGAAAAATAGTAATGCCTTGAATTCAGTGTGTTTCCATTATTTTCATTCCCATATAGGCATCTGTGTTGGAAAAATGACAAAACTCCCTTATACTTGATACCCTAAACACAGTGAAGGCAGAATAGAGTTTTTTAATTAACTGAAGGAAACAAAGAAAGTTACTTCAGGAAATATATGACTTTGGAAAGTATTTTGAAAAAAGGAAAACTGGAAATTAATATTTGATGAGCTGGAAAGGAAAATACTAAAAATTAGGTGTCTCTTCCACAGTGAAAAAACTAACAACTGCTTTCCATCTCTCCATCGCTTTATATCTGACCTGATTCAAGTATTTGACCCAAGAAGCCAAGAAAAATTGAACCAGATTCTTCTAGTGGTGGAACTTCTCCTGATTTACTTTTAATGTGCGGGTGATGGGTGTAATCCTGCTCCCTCTGCAGTAAGGGGAAACTCTCATTAACTGGAGGAGCAGGACCTCATCCTCCTACATGAGAGGAGAATCTGAGCCAAAGTCTCATTTCCTCTTCTTTTGGTCCCTATCATGATGGGGGAGACTTTTCTGGTGGAGAAAATAGTGCAGTTAAAAAACACCTTTTAAAAATCATCTTTTCCTGTTTCTTGTAACCATCATATAAAATTTTATTTTTGTCCAAAATCCTTCAACAGGATTGGAAAACATGGCAAAATGTTTCTAACAGTGCCTAGCCCAAGCAGCACAGCTGAAGAAAAATTCATCAAAAAGGGAGAGGCTCTTGGTACAAATTCTCTCCTGAATTTGCAGCCTGAAAATACTGTGTTCTATGTTGGTGGGGTGCCTCCAGATTTTAAGGTAGGTTTATATATAACCTATATATTCAGACTTAAGACTAGCCTGTATTGATGGACTTTTTAAAGATCTGTTTATTAGCAGAAATGTTTGGCTACTAAAACATCCTTCATGAATCATATGACTCCACCTTTTGATTCCAGTTTCTCGTGATTCTGCATTAAGGTCCCCAGGCATTAGTTCCCAGGCAAGAGCAATGTGTTTCTCTAATACAGCATTTCTTTTAATAAGTAGCTGAACAAATTCACATGGACCATGATATAAGTTTCTGACATGCAATTAGAAAAAAAATAACAGTTATTATTATAGATGGACACCTAGGAAACCCAGCTGAATGATGTGTGGTTTCTGCCTGACTCTTTCAATGATGAGTCCCTAAAAAATGTTTTTTCCCACTAACTTTCACAGAGGTGAAATATAATTTATTACTAATATTGTGAGTGCATGGACCTCTGGACCAAGAGATCTATAGGGCTGCAAGTTTGGGAATTGGAAAACTGGTCTGCTGATATATTTGTTTTTGTTCATTTATAAATGGAAGTAGGATATTGGCTTAGTTGGTTTAGACAGACCAAAAATTAGAAATGCACAGCTGCAGAGAGAAAGGAGGAAAGAAAGAAAATGATCCAGTGAATGAGCCATCCAGATCAAAACTTATTTCTCCTTAGAAATGATCCATAACTATGACTTTATAAGCATCCAGGTTTCTTCTCCTTTAGAAATGTACAATCTCACATTTTCATTTATTTAGTTTACTGTCTTGTTCCTGAGACTAAGTGGCTTTGTTCCCCTTTTAAACATTTTGTAATTCATTCAATAACTTTCAGACTGAAAACTATTTACCAGAATACTAGTAATGAAAGGGAAACAAACAAATAGGAATCAGTTTCAAAAGCAAAACAGAAGGATGCTATGCTGCAGTAAATAATTCTGATTCCCTTTTACAACTACTTGTTTTCAACACCTTCTTATTTCTTTCTGGGTTGTTTTTTTTTAATTAGGCCATTAAAGCAAACTGAAAGCACTGAAAGGGAAAGGTTACTGGCAATGACTGCTGTTGGAAATACACGATGCGCTGATGAAACATTTGCTAATGTCATGCCTAATCTACGGTGATGAGATTTTTAATACTGGGAAAGTGCTGCATTATCTCTGTCAACTTTGCTCTTTCATTTTGTTTTTAGATACCTTCATATTTTCCTTTCACTAACAAAGCAATTTAGATTCAATTTGCAGTGACCCTTGTTGAAAGAAAGCAGCAGCTTCATCCTGTTAGTTGTTTGAAATAATCTCTGCTGAATACTAGCTACTGGCACAGACAGGTTTCACAAGTACCAGAGTATCTACTAGATTTAAAGTGCTTGATTTTTTTAAAATTTTCTTCTAGTATAAAATGGCCTTTAAAACTCAAGGAGATGCCAATACAACATGTACAAAATATGGAGAATATTTCTAGTCAGATATTGTCCTTTGGCTAAGTCGCGTACACTGACCAAGAGAGATGTGCTGCTAGTTATAAAAGGCCAGATTCAGCTGCCTAAATTGGGCTTAGGTGGAATTTAGATGCCTAAGCCATGAAAAGCCAGATCAACCCTACTCCAGCAGCCACAAATCCCCCTTAGCACTTGAAAAGATCCTAGGTTTCCAGATTTAGGCTTCTTATTCTTGTGTTCATGCTCAGGAGCACCTGAATCAGAGCAGATAGAGATACCTAATACCCTTCTAAACTCTGTTGCAAGCTAGAATGGAACTGGGGAGATGGCTACTTTCTGCACAGATCCTTTGAGAGGCTCTATCCATTAAGTATGAGCAGGGCATGCCTAATTCCTTGCAACAACACTGAGTTCAGCACAAACCACAGTCCTTGTTACTTGAGGAGGAAGAGGGGCAGTAGTGTAACATGAGGTAGATGAGCCAGACATGTGCCCCAGGCATCACTTGATGGGTGGGGGACCAGAAGGGTGGGGTTGGGGGAGAGGCACTTCATCCCAGGGCTATTGCTCATCTCCCTGCTGCCTGCCTCACTACCTGCATGTATGACACACATTGCCATTGCAGGCAATGTCATGTGTCATCGAGCACAAGGCGTCTTGGGAATCATAGTGTTGTGGAGAAGCAGTTTGCTGCTCCCCCATTTTTTGCTGCCAAATTCAGGATTTTTTTTCTGAGCATGGGCTTCGGTGGCAAAATAATGGGGTGAAAGGGCCCCCTTAGCAGCAACCAACTCCACTGCTAGCCTAGAGAACTATAATTCCCATCTTGCACTCCATGATACACACCACCCAGCTCTCTGTGCTCCCTGATTCTCGTGGTTGCAGTTGAGGCGGTAGGAGGAGTGGAGGGGAAGGGTGAGAGATGGTACCCCAGGCACATTTTTCCATGTTATGCCTCTGAGGAGGGAACCCACACTTTTTGCATAAAAGTCGAACTTGGCAAGAGGAAGACCTGGGTTCAATGCCTACCTCAAATCAACATCTCTCTCTTCCCAAAAGAATGGCCTAACCACCAGGCTGTAGTGCTCCTTGGATTGTTTATGCATTTTTCATTTAGACAATCCTTGGATTAAAAACAGCAGGGACTGGAATCGAGGCCCTCGCCTCTATCCCCAAACTAGATTAATCACCTCAATGGGATATGGAGTCACACTCCCTCTTGTTTTGAGCCCATGACTGACTCTCCTTTCTGGACAGTAACCCAGCTTCAGCTAGGGGTGCTGAGAGTGCTTTTCCCTCCTCCAAACTGCTCTATTCCCTCTGCTTTGGCATTCTCCTTAGAGATGTGAGTCTGAATCCCTTCCAAATGGGACAGACCTAGACACCCAGGCACCTACTTTCTCAGTGACTGCTGGAATCACTAGATTACTGGGAAAAAAATGGGCATTTTCCATAATTAGGCATCTACCTAGGGGTAGACAAGGTACTCTGGATCTCAGTGGTAGATGGAGGCAACATATACAATGCTGAGTCTGGCACCTATGCTCCAAGGAGAGGCAGGGGTTCAGGCATATCCTTATGCCAGCTACTAACTCACCCTAGGCACCTCTTGCTCGGTGCCTAGGAGCTATGGATCATCCTTCAGAGGCACTTCATTCTGCCCATTCATTGCATAGGGCTTTTAGGTGCCTACCTGTCTATCTGCATAACATCCATGGGGTAGGGCACCTATTTTTCTAGGCATGCTGAAGCATAAACTGGAAGTACCTATGGATCTGGCTCTAAATCATTACAGCATCAAATAGCCCTGAGATCCTGGTGAACTTAAGATCTAATTGTCATCCTCTTGCCCCTTTATGCATTGTCTGTAAAAGTATTATAAAAATTCTCCTTTATAGTAGTCCTATCTAGACGTGTCCTTTCCCACTAATACACTTCTCCAGTGTACATCACAAAACAACTGCCTGTATAGGACTCCAACACTATCCCGTTGTTAAGATGCACCATCTGTCAAATCCAGCTTATAAAAAGCATAAAGACAAAATTGACCTAAAGAATAAATGAATTTGGCAGTCCTGGATGAATTAGATATGCTGACTTTTGTCCTTGTACCTTTGTTTCTTCAAATGCACAGCTCCCTCCCAGTTTAAATCTGCCTGGCTTCATCGGCTGCTTGGAACTTGTCACCCTGAATGATGATCTCATCAGTTTATACAATTTCAAGCACATCTACAACATGAACACTGCCACATCGCCACCTTGTGCCAGGTAGAGGAAAGTTCAGTTGTCACACTACTGTGCTTTGACAGAGTCTGCAGTGTTTGCAGGCCAGAATGCCCAAAAATATATATATAATCTTAATGCATCCGTCTTTTCCTTTAAATATAAAAATCTCAGGATAATATTAACTTGGTCCATGCTGAAAACATTTGCCACATTAAACTATTATACATACTAACTAGTTTGATCTAAGATTTTTATTGTTATTTTCCATCTCAATAAATTATCCCAAATTATTTATTAATTTGTCTGAAACAGAAATACTAGAAATGCTAGAAATAAATGTGTGAGTTAAGGAGACTGAATAGAGCAACTAGAATGTAGGTTTTTTCCCCCTGGATGTTTCTTACATAAAGTGGGTCTTGTGAATGACAACTCAAGTTCATTTCAGTGCTAGAATAATGTATGAAATCCCAGTCCAACTTGATTAAGGGCAACAGATTTTAGTTGACTTCCATGGGAGCTGGATGGGTTCTTAAAAATCACATCTTTCCCTTTCATGAGAAAGGCCTGTGGCCCTACAGGCTTGTGAGAATGAGCCAAAGAACTTTCCTATCCCAACATGTAACTTAACCTCAGCAAAAATCCTTGATCTCATGATAAGAGAGAGAAATATACTAGCAAAGCCATACATAATTTTTCAGGGAATATTCTCAGCTTGCAGTAATTAAACAGAGATAAAATCAGAGGTCTGAAGTCTCATTCCTCCCAGGGATAAATGAAAAAAAAGTTTAAAACAAGACAGTGTTTTAAATTTTGATGCCCTGTTTTTCTTGTGTGAATATAATGATGAAAATACGCTGATATAATCTCTGATTTATTTATTTTTTTGCTGCTTCTCTTTTTCATACTAGAAATAAGCTCGCCTTCACCCAAAGCCGGGCGGTGAGCTATTTCTTTGATGGCTCTGGCTATGCTTTGGTGAAAAACATTGAGAGAAGAGGAAGATTCAGTCAGGTGACTCGTTTTGACATAGAAGTTCAAACACCAATAGACAATGGACTTATTCTCCTGATGGTTAATCGGGTGAGTACAAACTCTACTCTAATCCTGTGCCTACGCTCACCCCATGCCTTCTTGTGCCTATTCTGCATGATTATTGTAGAATATTCCATATATTGTATGTTTCACTTTGAAAAAGAAATGTATTTGTCTGCTGCATATGTTATTGTGAGACACCTGAAGGGCTGGACACAAAAGCCCCCAAATCCTCTGATTTGCTCTTATTTGATCTGATTCTGCTCACACACTGGTGCAATCAGGATTTGAATGAAGTCACACCACTACTTTAAATAAGACAAGAATCAGGCCTAATGATTTCATGTTTTATTGAGACGTAAGTGAATTGTAAGAGCCAGTGGGCACATCTGCACAAGACACTACTGAGCAGTAGTTACTGTGCATTTATTTAGTACTTGTATAAGCAAGTACTAAATAAATGTGCAGTAACTGGAATTACTGTGCAGTAGAACTGGCAAACACCTTTTAAGTAATGCTACTGTGCAGTATCTTAATACTACTGCGCAGTAGCATCTCAGCATGGGTTTTTGCCAGATGCTGCTGCTGCGCGGTAGTATCAGGCTACTGTGCAGATAGATGCACCCAATGTGTAGTAGTTGACATGAAGTTTTACACATTTGTCTTCTTGTACGTATATCTGACACAATTGTATAATTGTACATAATTGTATAGTTACTATCGTAGCCTGAAATTAGATATTAGCCCAAAACAAAATCTGCATCCAAACACCCTTACATTTTCAAAAATTTGAGAGTGATTCCTACCTATGCAACAGTCTGACACAACCTCCCCCATACAAACATCCTGAAGCCACAGGAAGCTTTGAATACAAACTCAGACAAGTGTCTGCCTCTACCTCAAACTTTCAAGCCCTGTGTGAAGTATAATGAATGAATAAAACAACAGAAAGGGATTTGCTGTGTAGACACAGTATGTGCACACAAATCACTGCAGTGGGCAGTTACTGTGGAATTACTTCCATGCTCATTAAAAGGGTTACTCTCTCTTTTGCCTTCAGGGATCCTTCTAGGAAAGATTACTGCAGTGCAAATTGTTCTGTAGCACTGAAGGCCACCAATAACCTTAGCTTTCAGGAGGTTCCCGAGAAGCAGGAATTGTTGCACACAGACTTCTCTGTACTGGATCCATAATTGATTTCTTCTGAGCAGAAATTTCCAAGTTTTTTTCTGAGTTATATGTATTTTTTTCTTTTATACTTAATGATGAAAAGTATATTCAGATAGGACATTAGCTCTGGAAAACCAGTTCTGCTGACAGGCATTTTCAGTTGAACTGAACAAACCAGCTGCCATTATTCTGTTCTATTTGAACAGCTCCTAAATATGTAAAATTAATGTATTTTTTATTTTGTTTACAAGTTTGGGGAGGTCCATGATAAATACAAACTGCAGTGTCATTTAAAAATACTGAACTAAATTCTTCCCTCAGTTATATTAATTCGGCTCTATTGATTGCGGTGAGGGGGGACTAATCTAATTTTATGCTAAAGACTTTGATTTCAAGGATAACTGCATTTCATAGTCCACTTGTTTCTAGCTGTTTTTCTCCCCCATGTTTCCTATACTTTCTTCTGATAGATTCAGTACCCTAGTGGTATAATATTGTTCCTGTTTATAAGCTAGATCTAGCCACAAAAGCCGAATTATGTGATATAGGTAATCCACCACACCCCTTGAAAATTAAAATGAAAAAGCCTCTATCTGCCCTACAGACTTCTGCCTGCACAGCTCTGTTGGTCAGGGTTATAAAGTTCAACCCTTGACTGATCTAGCTATGCTAACAGAAGTTTGGTAGTATAAATTGGAGCAGCCAAATAAAGTTTCTGCAAGGACACCTTGTTTCTTTTGGGGTCAGTGATTTTACTGTAGTGGGACTAAAAAACATAGCTTTACAGTTTAGCATAGCTGCATCCATACCAGCAGCACTTTTATGATATAGTATATTAGTACCCCTATGCTAATAAAGCACTGGTTGCATAGACAAACAGTTCACCAAAATCCCATGTCAGTACTATTTACCAAATAGTTATGAACAAAAACAGAAATCCAAGAATTTTGTTTGTTTGTTTCTACAATGAATAAGTTTTTTTCTGCAATGAATAGTGCAGCCAGCCAATCGTGCTATACATGAATTTCTAAACTGCTTTCATAAGGAATTGTATGTGTGTTTTTTTAATGCTGTTTGTTTTGTATAGAGTATGTTCTTCAGTCTGGAGATGCGCAATGGATTCCTGTCTCTGCAATATAACTTTGGCTTCAGCAATGGCTCTGTGCTTCTTGAAGATTCAATGAAGAAGGCTCAAATTAACGATGCAAAATTCCATGAGGTATAAGCTGGTGTAGAATTTCTTTCATTTATCAAGCATGCCAGTCACCGTGAGGCAGAGTGTAGTTTATCCACGTTCTAATGAGAGAATGAAATGATGATAGACCAGATATTGTACAGCACCAAATGTGATCAGGAATCAGGGACCACATCACCAGACCCACAGGGTGAACCTAAAGTCTGAGTCCAAAACACAGGCTGAGTCAAGGTTCAGGAATTAGGTACCAAATTACTAGATTCTAGGGCAGCGGTTCCCAAACTGGGGGTCGTGACCCCAAATGGGGTCGTAACATCAGCAGATGGGGTTGCAGGAGTGGGGGGCTATGAGTTGGGAGTAAGGGACCATGCTGAGGAAATGGGCCCAATAAATGGGGTTGTACTGTGCAAAAGTACTGTTCTAGGAGAAATCCAGGGGCAGAGCCTGAGTCACAGGCTAAGTCAAGGTTCAGGAGTCAGGAGCTGGTGCCAAGGTCAAGATGTACAGGGAGTGCAAGCTGAAGTCAGGGTCTGCCAGAAAACAGATCTGGACTCAAGGTATACCAAGGATCAGAACTGGAGTCAGGGTAGGCCAGGATTCAGGGTCAAAAGTCAGGCACCGCATTACGAGACCCCAGGGGAGTTTCCAAAAAGCCAGAGTTCAGGAACAGAGGCAAGCAGGTTCAGAAATCAGAGAGATTTATGCATGCAGTCCTTCAGAAGAACTGTTGGCTGGCCTGCAGCCTGCTGCCACAGAAGGAACTAAATAGGGAGGCTGCTCTCCCCAGCAGCCCATCAGGAGGCCCAAACACTGGCCAGCTGGTTCATTACCTGGGGTTGGGTTGCCAGTCAGAGCCCCCAAGCAGATGTGGCCAACCAGGCAGTAAGTGCAGGTCCCCTGACAGGCAGGTTATTGCTAGGGACCTACCTAAATTGTGGCGGAAGTGCACTGCACAGCGACTCCTTTAATCTTGCTCTTTTTGCTACGTGTCTCCCACCCCACCACTGATTGATGGAGGGGCCTCATCGGCCCCACTGCTCGCCACTTGCTGCTGATCAGCCAGGAGGCAAAAAACACAGTTTTAAACATGCTGCCATTCTTGCTGCCCAGCCAATCAGCAGCAAGGCAGCTCAGGCCTCTCAGCCAATCAGCAGCAGGAAGCCAAAACTGTGGCATATTTAAAACCATGATTTTTGCCTTCCAGATGACAGTGGGGCCACTGGGGCTGCTCTGCCAAACAGTGGCGGAGGAGTTGCGTGGCAAAAAGCATGAGATTAAAGGAGCTGCTATGCACTTCTGCCAGAATTTAGGCAGGTCCCTAATGCAGTTTAGTTTTGCTTACTGTAGGATGTAAGCACACGGAAGTTCAAAAAGATCAGCTGACATATTTTTGCAAATATTTAGTTGGTCTAATAAAAGATACTACCTCTGCCATAAGTTTTGATTCTTTTCCCCCCTTCAAATAGCATACTATATTTTCTCACATCAACCAGGCACTTTTCCACACAAAAAGCTGGTAGGAATTGGAGTAAGCATTATATGCATGAAATATAGTAAGAACTGTTTCTGCCAGTTAGAGCAGGGGTGGGCAGAGTTCAGGCCTTGGGCCAGATCAGCCCCAAGGCAGAGCCGTGATCCACTGCCTGAATGCCCCTGTGATAAACATGGGTCTTGCGGTCAGGGGCACGCAGGCAGCAGATTGTGGCTTTGCCCCATCTCCAGCCCCATGGTGTCACTGCCACAAGATCCTGACCCTGGCCCCAGAGCAGCTCCCTGCTCAGCCTCATGCCCTGCCTGTGCCTCTCTGGGCCAGTCTCCATCGGGACCCTGGGAGCACAGGGCCATCATGACACCATGCTATCATGGCCCCACCACTCCCAGGGTCAGCATGGAGACCAGCTGAGAGCGGCACAGGCAGGGGTTGATGGGGAATAGAGTCCAGCCACCATCAAGATTGACCATTTTGCCCACCCCTGAGTTGGGGCAAAAGTGCAAATAAAATCTGCATGTGATTCACAGGGACCAAAACAAGGAGCAGGCTCTGCTTCCTAGCTGCTGCTAATCAGTTACTTACTGCAAGGAAAGAACATTTTTTTCTTATTCGGTCTTTCAAAACCAACGTATTATACTGATGTGTGCTGCATGTGAGATAATATAGTCATTATTGTATTTAGCCATAACCCTATTCCATTAGGAAGTGACTTATGCAGAGGAAAATTCAGTACTGGTTTTTGATCTATAGACACTTGTTTATAAATTTCAGTGACTCAGAAACTAACACTGTACCTGAAGTGGGTGTACCAGAGAATTTGTTTCAAAGCAATTTAACTCTGACAATAGCAGTAATAAATCTGAACTATAACTTCATTTCCATGATGTAAATGCAGAAACTGATTGCTGATGTTAGTGGGGTTACAGTGCTTTTTAACTTGTGTGAGAACAGAATTTATGTTTCACAATAGAAACTGTTTTAAAGATATATGTTCATATTCTTGTTTGGTATAAATGGGAAAATATTTGAAGTAATGCAAATGTCTTATTTATACCAGCCTGCAACTTAGCCAATGTTGATATTTTCTAGAAAGTAAAAGGTCCTGTTTTTAGCCATTAACTAGGCTAAGTATAGACAGTCAAAACAGCCAAGGCTAAATCAATTCAATCTTTGCAGTCTAGTCTAAGCTGTGTAGATTGAACTAATAAGGAAGTGAACAGACATTCACTTTTGATTCCAGAAATGTAACCACATGCCTCCAGTGGCCCAGGTCAGAAGCTGAGGGGGCCGGAGTGTGGGGGGGGAGTTGGGGCATTAGACCACACCTCCCTGCTTGGCTGGAGCAGACAGCTTGGGCCAAGTCTAGCTCATCTGCCCTGCAAGGGGGAGAGGTTGTGGGGGAGGTACAAAGCATCTTGGGATGCTGGGGGACTGTGAGTTAATTTGAATCTGGAGGGGATCTGGGACTGAAGTTCAGTAAACCGATTTAACCTAAATCAGTTAAGTCTGACATTATATCCATTCAGGTTTATCTTAAACTGGTTTCGGCCATTTTGAAAGCAGTTTATATACACTGAACTTCTGCTGTGTTACAGGTTAGAACTGGTTTCTCATCACTTATATTGGTTTATGTGTAATTTCTGTCCCTATCCCATAGGAATCATGTAATCAAAATGAGCTTACTTCTAGTCATTGGGCATTTATACACGTACCTTTTCATACTTGGACGCGCCAGAGATTCACCACTTCTGACACACCGCACTGTGCCACTTGAAGTTGTATAAGCAGCAAAATGCACGTCAGCGCAGAGAAAATGGCAGCGGTGCACTTTTGAACTAAAGCACCTCTGTGATGTTTTAGCTCAAAAGTGCGCTGCTATCATTTTCTTTGTGCTGACGTACATTTTGCCACTTATACAACTGTAAGCGTTGTTCAAAGGGCCCGGCACTGCAGCGCTTACATGTGTAAAAATGCCCACTGCTCTCAGTTCTCCATTGACTCGCAAACTAATTTTTTGACAAATCAGAATGGTTAAACTTAAAATAACAATAGACAGTAATTAAAGCCACGACGATTTGTAAAAGACATTTTTTGAACATTTCTTGTTTACATGTGAATTTTTCTTTCAGATTTCTGTTATTTATCATAACTCTAAGAAAATGATTTTGGTGGTGGACAGACGACACATAAAAAGTGTAGACAATGAAAGGACAGCAATGCCATTCACTGATATCTATATAGGTGGAGCCCCTACAGAGATCTTACAGTCCAGGTTAGTATACAATCCAGGTTCAATCAGTACTTCTTTTTAACTAAATATTCAGGTTGATGCACAGTTGTTTTGAGTCATGTGTTTTTTACCTCATTTATAGCTCCTGAAACGCCATCTTTTATTTTTGCTTAAGTACAGAGTTCTGCATTTGTGCACAAATCCCAGAGGCTGTAGCTCTGTGTCTCGGACGGCCGGAGCCGACTCGAGGTGATTTAGAAATTACTCGGTCGTTTGGGCGGGCTGGTGAATGGAGAGGCAGACACAGCTTATCGGTTGCAAAAACTTTACTTACGCTGCCTGTAGCCGCGACGCAGGTGGTCCGGTCACTTGAACAACTATGTCAGTTGCTCCAGCTGGCAAGGCTCAGGCCAGCTAATCCGTCCACAAATTAAGCCGGCGGGGAAAGGGTATGTCGGGGTTTGCGCTCGGCGACGGGGAGAAGAATCGATAGGTGATCAGTCTATCGATCAGCTCAGCCACAAGTCAGATCTCTTTAGGGGCACTCTGCAGCGTGCTCAAAGTTCTCCGACTTGGGCGGAAGTCGCACAAAATTTTAAACGGCTAGCAAGCCAATTACTAGCCGCCACGTAGGAATAATTTAGAACTGGCCAATAGCGGGACACAAATTTGCATCCAAATGGCGGGAACTCTCTTGCACCGAGGTTTTTCTGTTGCAACAAAAACCTTTGCTGTGCAAGAGGCTCTCATGTGGCGGGAAAATTCCATCGTGCCGAGGCACCAAAATCACTGGGTTGTGACATGCCCCCTTGCCGACGGCACAACTGGAATTTTAGACACATGAGCACATTATAAGGCATCTTTGTTTCAGGATTTACTGAC